CACTGCGGCTTGACCGGCAGGATGTTTGTATGAACGGGGGCGGTGATACGGACTGTAGTGAGTCGGAGGCAACTTCTGGGAATTCAAAAGCTGTGTCGCTGAGTGAGAGTGCGCTGGTGGTTTCGACTGTGCTGAAGAGCCTGTTGAAGCCGATACCTGTTGCACAGCGGCTGAAGATGCTGTCTACTATGTGCCGTCGGTGGAATGTGGGCGTGCTATGTGCGAGCGATGGTGTGTCTGTGGAGGATCATGCTACGCTGGTGGTTGAGCGTCTGTCGGTGAAGTTGGGCCAGGTGCTGGGACATGAGGCGTTTGCCGCAATGAAGTGCCCTCCTGTTGTGAACATTGTCTCTGACCGCTGCTCGACAATGTGGGACAGTTCGCTGTCGTTGGAGGGCCGTCGGGTGGTAGTGTCGTTGAGTTCCTCCGGCTTGGCGGAGGCCCGCAGGGACGGCGTGGGCTCATCGACGTCCACGTCGTTAGCTTCTTCACGGGCTGTGGAGATTCGCTTTCCGTTCATCATGGAACGTTGATGGGTGTCAGCACACCGTGGTGTGTGTGTGTGGGTGGCTTGTGACCCTCTGTCTTGTGCCTCCCTCTCGCCTGACACTATGTAAGGTACATCCCTGTGTGGTTCCTCCTTCTACTTATATGTGGTGCAATGTGTGTGTTTTTTGTGGTGGGTAAGATACGTGTGACACCCATGTGGTGATTCCCGACATATGTGGGCCATTGGTTGAGACATGTTTTTTTCACGTGAACTGCTTTATGATTTTACTGGTTTTGTGTGCTTGCGTTATATTCTAATTCGTCCATGGAGCGAGGTCTGCTGTGTTTTTCCGTTTGTACTGATGGTTTGTTGGGGTTTTCATGTGCGCACATTGACCCTCGCGTGCTCCTGTTTTTATGGTAATTTTCAGCGGCTTGACGTCTTGTACGTACCCCTGTGTGTGCTTTGCGTTTTCCGTCCTCATTCTGTGCCTGACATGCTTCGTCCATGGTGCGGGATGTTTGGAGCCTTGAGGCATTCATGATGGACGGCACTGTTTTTCCTCACGATATGCACGAAATGCGGTTGCGTACATCTTTGATTCTCACCCTGGGCTTCATGCGAGCACAACGCCTTTCTGCTCTGCATTCTGCTTGCTGTCAGATAGCGGAGTGTGGCGGTGCTGCTGTGTGGTGCTGGAGGAGTATCGACTGTTGTGTTGTACGTGTGATTCATCTTGTTGCGGTGCCGCGCTGGTGGCGCTTCTTTGCCGATTGTGCTTGTGCGCTGGCCTGTTTATGGCTCCCGCATCTCCTTGCTGTGTGCGGGGCTCTGCACCTTGCCAGCTGCATGCGTGCGGTCGTTCCCGCGAGCATCACACGTGTGCATCCGCCCCCCTCTCGCTCCTGTTTCTTGCTTTGCTTGCGGCAGAAAGGCACAAGCACCACAACAAGAA